ATATAATTTTCAAGTTACTTTTGAACAAGATATGAGTATACTCAATATTATTGTGTACTTTTTTTTCATGTACAATTTAGAATATAAGTTATAAATTATCAGTACAATAGACTAACAACTATAATTGGTATTTAAGTTACCAAAATAAAAGAGCTAAACCAAACATAAGATTTTTACATTTTGTATTAAATTGGGGAAATTGTTGTTATTATTTTTCCATTGCTTTGAATCACTTAGATGACAAACCAATCCGTCAGTTGTTTTCTCATCTGCACACCATCTAAGGTTTTTAGCGTCTTTTGAATTTGCAGACAAATGCTTAAGTCTGGCCACGAGTGGAAGGTATCAAACTACTTTCAAAGCAGAACCATTTTTTTTATGTGACCACTATCTTCACTGTTATTTTTTTACTTGTATCGTGATAACCCATATTTTGGACACTTTTTCAAAACTTCAAACTCTTTCTTATATAATATGCAATCATTCAGACATGCATATATCATTTTATACTTCATACTCATCAGACAAAGAATTTTTTTGCATCATAATTACAAGTGGATAGGGTATTTCCATCTCGCGACATTTCTTTTAACAAGGACAACAATTATATGAAACTTTTATATGAGTTCATCCATTGACTGCCTTCAAATTCATGAGTCTTAACAACGATGACAACCCTGTGAACTTAATTGAACCGACATACAAAGGAGTCTTCGCATCAGTGAACATTATTTAATACAGATGCACTTGGGCAAAAGCTTTCGCATCAGTGGACATTATTTAATATAGATGCACTTCGGAAAAAGCTTTTGCGTCAGCATAAAGCAGATCATGTCCTCTAATTTGTCTTATTTCGGTCAATCTTCCATGGAGGAATCAAATACATTTTTAGTTGGGGTGACAGTTGGAAAATCTGTTAATTCGCCGTGTCATATCTATGTTGTATAACTTCGTAGGAAACCATCACAGATAAGATGTTCCCTAGTTTCAGTTGTGCTCAACTTCCTTTCATTCAAACAGTTGACACAAGAACATCTAAACCTGACTTCATCATCACTTTTACCATTGTTACGTTGTACAAATTCTATAAATTCTTTTACCTATCTCTCATAGTTAACACTGATGCGTGGTGAATTAATCCAATCTCGATCAATACATATATTTATTGAAATTGTTTAGAAAATATCAATAATCTTGAATGATCACTTTTGTATTCAAGGTTTGCCTTATCCTATTCCAGAAAATTCATTTTTTTTAGTTTATTGAACATATAAATTTTAAACATGATATCTAAAATTTCACGAAATTTTGTTAACATTTCGCATTGGTTTTCAGGTTACACGAAATGAAAGTTATTATAAATCATAATCAAATATACACCCGAAGATCAATACAAAACATAACTCCAAATTTTCATGAAGTTTAAGACATGTATATTAAAATTTATATATATTAATAAATTATGAAAAAGTTATTACTTTTCTTAAACTGTTGAACCGGACAATTCAAGATTCAATACCTGTAAATTATTATTATCATCTCTATTCATTTGTAAAAAGTACATTTGTTCAAAAAACCTTGGAGATAGTAAATAATTTTTATATTGAATCTCAAACTGGAAGCTAAGACTAATTCAATAGAATAATATATTCAAGTAAACAAATAATTATATACGCAACATACAATAAATGAACAAGGTACTAAATAATTATATGTTCATATTAAAAGGAAAATTTTAAGAGTAGAAACCTGGAAGCGTGAAAGTCGGTGAAAAATGGAGAATGTCCACATTTTAAAAGCTATAAAATCTCACCACAAAAATACAATATCTGGAAAAAAAACAACACATTAATTAGTCACCTAGTTCATAATCTTAAAGTTTATTTCATGAGCAAACCAACTAATTTAATACAAACAATTCAAAATTTTATTCCCTAATTTTTATATCCCTGAGTCAAAACAATTTGTATGGCTAAACATTCCCTGAAATTAAAATGGCTAAATATGTATATATAATATTAAAACATATTATATATATATATATATATATTATAATTCTCATACTAATTTTTGTATGGTTTCCATTTCTTATAATTTTTTTGACATTATCTTCAACTTTCTTATATCAAAGACAATTTCATTTAATCTTTATTGTAAATAATATTATACACCAATATATATTATCATCGAATTTCTAGAGTTTTTAGTATTATAAAATTTTATATTAAACTTTATATTTTTATTAATGACAAAAATGATCTTCTTTTATATGGCTAAACAATATACATTAAAATGGCTAAACCCTTTCTTTCCTTGCATGAATTTACATAAGAAAATAGCGGTGTCAATCCTACGACCAATGACCAAGTAAAAGTTCTACTAATGATTCACTATATCATTCTTATAGCTATTCATTACCCAACACAGACGAAAATGGAGGAGGCGATGAAGAACTTACCCACGCGAAGACGAAAATGGTGGAAAACGATAGAGGAAGCATGATGACGCCAAGAGAAAGAGATGAACCACGAATGATCGGTGGAAGCGCAATGAAAGACGATGAACAAGGGAGGCCACGATGAAGCTTCATTTCACAGAGGAGGAAGGAGTTTGCAACAGAGAAAAAGTAGTTATTGTTTTTAGTTTTATGAAATTTTAACCCTCGAAAAGGATATTACCTCGGTTAAATAAAAAACGGAGGCAATAAGATACTTATGGCCTTGATTATTAAGATAATTGATGCCTAAAACCTTCAGAAAAAATTGAAATTAAAATATTAAATGAAAAATTTGAAAATTTCTTCAACTATAGGCCTCGATTTGTGGTTAAAATGAGACATAAAAGGTTTATGGCATCGTTTATTCGAGAAACCAAAGCCATAGGTATTGACAAAAGGAATTTGGAACGTTCAGTTTCAGAAAGGTCAACTATTTTGTAGTGAAAGTGTCAAGTTATAGAGAGTGCAAAGCGATTTTTGCAAAGTTTTTGGCCTCGATTGTCCATACAACTGAGGTAATATATCACATATAACATCGGTTCTATAGGCAACCGATGCCGTAAGACCTGTTCAGAAGAATGTTAGTAAACTTATAGAGGTTGCAGAGGGATTCTACAAGGTATTTGGCCTCGGTTGCTCAGAGAATCGAGGCAGTACGCCCTTCTCAAAAAAGTTGTCAGTTGAAAAGTTTGTTTTACAAATAGGGCAGATGAATTTTGTAGGGTTTAGGCCTCAGTTGCCCATATAACTGAGGCAATATACACTTAAATGTTTCGGTTCCCTTTTAATCGAGGCATGTAACTGATGTGAACCACATTTACCAAAGGTGATGTGAATCCAACCAATGAGGACGTGACCAAGAACAAGGGAAATGATTCACTTGAAGGACTTGGAGGACCTATGACAAGGGTCAGAACTAGGAAAGCAAAGAAATCTCTTCAAAATGTGTTGTCCATATTAATTGAATACAAGCTCTAACTTCTAGCATAATAGTTTTAAAATGCTTTAGTAATTTATTATACCATATGACAAGTAATGATGTTTAAGTATCATTACAAAACATCAAATATTTAAAAATATTTAAAATTATAGAAATAAATATTGTATTTAAAAAAAAATACATAGACCTATGTAATATATATTATTTTATCTTAAAAAAAGCAACAACAGATATTACATATAAATGATTACTTGATTACGGTTGTGTCAAAATATTCGGTTTGAAAATTTTTATAGATATTTTTGGATAATCTTCTTATAAATTTGCAAGAGAATTTTTTTTAATAAAGTTTTATATTAAAAAATAACAAGAATGATTGAAATCTCAAATTACTTAAAGAACACAATTTTTTGGGTCTTTTGAATGCATAATTTTGTTATAGTAAAAAAACAATATAGGGGTAAATTATTAAATTTATTGTCATTTAGTCTACTCAATAATCTTTTCTTTTGTATTAGATTATAGTGATAAACAATTATTTCTATTAAACTGGCATGATTTTCGTTCATTGATCCTTCTATTCAACTGAATAAGTGAAAGCTAAAAGGTATTAATTATAAATTAGAATTATGGAAATATTAACAAATCATAAAATTAACCAAGATCAACTATTTTAGAAAACGATTGCTTTTTTCTTATTTTACAAAAAAATTCATTGTGCTCCATTTTTATTCAAGCTATGATAAAAAAAATCCTCTCTCAAAACACTTCGGTTCCAAGAAAGAAAAATATATTTGTTACATATTTTATTATTGATACGTCTTAAAATAAGATATTTATTTCAGCTATATAAGAATAAATCTGTAAGCTTAGTTAACATTTAACCAGTAACGTATAAATAATGCAGATATTCAATCATAATAATAAAAAAAATGTCATTACCACCACAAATCACTATCAAAGTAAAATTATTGACTTCAAAACATACAACTATAAATATTTTAGGGATATGTGTATTAAAATTTATTGAAATGTGTAAGAAAATGCAAAAAAAAAAATATGTTTTTTATTCAGTTAAAGTGAACCATACAAAAAATAACCTTTTTAAACAAAAATCAACCATTTAATGTTTTTATTGAGTTAAATTTTGAAATTTCTCTTTTCCTTGATTGTAAATATATTCAACGAAAATACCCTCTTGAATTCAAACGAACAGAGCATTAGAGAAGAATTTACTGTTTCTTAGGAGGAGTTTTATCAAAATTAATTCATGCATATAAGTTATATGAAAAGAATTCTATAAGTTATTGTCATAATAAGTTAAGTTATAATGATGATATCGCACAGAATATTTGAGTGAACTATGGGAAATAAAGTAAAACCCGGTGGCCATCTTTAACACAAATCATCAGAAAAAGGACAGAAGACAGGACAAAGGCGAAAGGAGAGAAAGTTTCCATTGTATTGAGTTTCATCTTTTTCAAAAACTGAAACTATTTGCCACAAGCCCTATAACTCAACAAGGTAGGGTGATATACAAAAGGAAACAAAAACCAAAACCCTTGATTCCAAAGAAAAAAGAAATAGAAAAAGCAAACCCGAAAATTTGAGCCATTTTGATTGAGAGGATCTGGAACTGTAAGCACCCACACTTCAACACGTATAACACATTTACAGCTACATTCACAAAACTCCCCCGTACCTTCCATTCCTCTCTCTTCACCCCTGTTTCTGGAAAGAAAAGTATCTTTCTTTTGGGTCACAGTTTTTTTCTTAAAAGTCTTTTCTTTCCTTTTCCGGGAATACTGCTTCAGTTCCGTTCGTTCGAGGAATCCTATGTACCTCTTCAACTAACTAAGCCGCCGCAACTGCCCCCGTACGGAACGAGTACCCTTGCGTCTTGTTTGGCGACGTCGATTTTCTTTGTTCTTTATTCCTCAAAGCTTTCATCGATGAAGAAAGGTTCATGTTCTTCTCTTTCGCTTCGTCTATATCTATTTGTTCTTGCCTGCACTCCTGGCTACAAAACGGGGTGTCCCCTCTGCAACAAACAATCATAATCCCGATCAGATCTAATTCGCAATCAAAAGGGTCTTTCGGTAACCCAAAAAGATTCAAAAAAAATAAATTGTAATAAAGGGTGTTGCTGTGGGTGGCTGACTGACCTATACATGAAGATGTCTCTGTTGTCCCCGAGTGTCTTTTTACAGAGGAAACAGGCGGCGAGGAAGTGAGAGTGGTGATCCTCGAATCTGGTGTCGTGGAATGTCTTAGATCTCGGTGAGAAAACGGGAAGGGTGTTCCTTAATCGGGTTCTGGTGTAGGAGGTGGCGTAACCCATGGTCATAGACCTAGATACAAAATTGTTGGCTCGATGGCAAGCATCCATGTCGGTTAAGGAAGCCAGGCCGTGGTCTTGTTCCAAGTAAGAAGGTCTTGATGGAGTGGTAGACCTTGAGGAGCACATGAATTTAATTTAAGGTTTGGTTTGGGAAGTGATGTTCAGAGGAGGAGTGGGGAGTGTAGAAGAGAATGGAAGGAGATGGTTTTATAAACAGGGTTGATGGAGGAATGGAAGACCAAACAGAGAGAAATAGAGAGAGAAATAGAGAGAAACAAACAGCGGCAGGTTTGGTTCAAGGAATCCTTGAGTGTGAATCTATTGGCTGAAACTACCTGCATCAAGACCGTTCAAATTTGTGACTTTTTTTAGGAAATGTATGATTGGGGTGATAGACAGTTGCCACCAAAGTTTGTGTAAATTACAATGTCACTTACTTTCACTTCAAATTGCCAGGGCATCAAATACTTTTACTGCATTTAATTTTCATCACTTTCTGTTTTTAGTGTAATTTTAATTGTAAGTGATAAAATTTATAAATATATTTATTTGGTGCTAGCCATGATGAGTTCATTATAAATTTTTATTTATTATATATTTATTAACGTTATATTTAATCTGTCTTATTATAGTTAAATGTTAATAATGATGTTTAAGTATTCAATTTCTATAACTTTTTAGTTTTGATAATACATTTAAACGCGTTTTAAAATTGAAGAAAAGAAAAGCTAATTTAACTTCGTTTTGGATTGAAGTCTGTATTTCAAAATAAAAGATTGGAAACCACCCCCATGGAATTAACTTCTTTAAAATTAACACAATTCAATTAAAATATGAAAATTAATTAATTAAAAATACTTTCACTAAAACATTTTTAATAAATAATGATTATGGTTAAAAATAACTGTTCTAAATTACACTAAAAAGTGACATTTTGTAGTTCAAGGAGGAAAAGGGGGCTGTTTTTGGCAGAAAGAAAAGATCTTTCCCTCTCGGAAATGGTAGGTCCTATTTTGAACCAAAGTAGGCATATATGTGAGTAAGTTGGTCTCACTCGCGCTCTTCCTGGCATGTGGCGCGTGCTTCTAAAATTGATGTAAGAGGGTAAGAAAAGTGCGGGCCCAACCTCGCGCTTGAAAGTAACATACACAGTGTCCTGTTCTTAATGTACTTTTCCATAAATCAATTAATTTTAAATCATGGTTTATTTATTCTTTTGTTATTTAATTATTTTATTAAATTTCTTTTTTTATGACAATAATTAATTTAATTTATTTTTTAATTATCAGAACTACATAATTTAGTTTTCAATCAAATTTTTACGTCATTGTTTTAAACTTTTTGAAGAAAACAAATAAAAATTAAAAACAGATGAATTTAATCTATTTAACAATTCAATAAATAAAAATTAAACGGATTACAAAAAATTATTAAATCAAATTAAATTAAATTTAAAACCATCAAACTCACTTATAAATTTATGATACTATTGTTCTTAATATTTTACATGTTTATTACGTTTTTATACTGTTTATAGTTACCCGTAAATACAAAAACACATGCGTGATGTGTGTTTTGTTTTTATGATGTTAAAAAATAGTTTTTAAGTTTTATTGTAAATATAAATATTTTTATTATTTTATTATAAATAATTTTTATTTATTTTGTAGAAAGTTTTATAATTGAAAAATGGTTAAATTAAAAAATTATTTGAGCGATAAAATAATTATTTTAATTTTAATAGATATTTATTTGAAGGACAAAATTAATAAAACAAATGACAATAAAATAAATCACATATATATATATATATATATATATA